GTCCTTTATGTGTGAGTCCCTTTGCAGTATTGAAAAAGTAACAACCTGCCAATAGATTTGTTTTAGGACAACCAAGTCTCTAAAGATATATTCAATTACTGGAGGCCTTCCAAGCTGAGGTTCCCTGCCTGACTAGGAGATGTTATGCACAACGAGGTAGAAGGGACTGTCAAACGCAAAAATGTAATGGCCACGAATGAAATTCTGACTCGAATGTTCTTTCGTTTGAAGATTCAGGCAGAAAAAACTAGTCGGCCGACCTCACGAGAAGATGATGGCGGTTTTCCCTTAGTCTGGTTTTTCTGGTACATTTTTTATCGACACAGTCCTCAAAACACTCTCTTTCGATTCGGATGAATATGAAATGAAATCAATTCAACACCAATACACCAAGAGAATCCCCAAAAGTCAGTCTTTCCTATTATATGCAGTGGTTCGCCAGCGAGTAATCGCTTTCTATTTTTAATCAACCATTGCAGGATGAAAAACAAATTCTTTGTAAGTCACTTGGAATCTCCTTGCTTTGGATATAAAGGTATCGAATTCCCAAGTGCCAAAATTGGTTTAATTCATATCATTTTTTATTGTTTAACTGAGTTTACTAATCTGAGTTACAGGTACGTTGTGATAATCTGAAATGAAGACACTGAACGCATCCGGATGATCTTCTTCTTCTAGTTTCAGCTAATTTTACTACTTATTCTACTTATACGCCTACCAATCTTAATATCCTCAACTAAGTATGTAACTGCCAAGACAGGGGGTTGACGAAGCATGAGTTAGATGAGGCCTGGTGTTTTGGCCAAGTCCCCCTTACTGGTTGTGGGATCAGAGCTGAGTCCTTCCGGCCAAATGTCCAAACATTCTCTATCTCCTCCACCACTCTACGTCCGATTGGCCAATCTCGACTTGACATGAGAGATGAGGCTTCGGTTGCCTGAACTGGCGCCACGGTTTCGGGCGTTTCAGCAGTTGGTTCTGTCTCGTATTCGCTTACTCGTTCTGTTTGGCTAAAGAGAGTCCATAAACATGCGAATGTACATACAAAGTGATAAGTTTATGCATGCTTGTGTAAAGAGGGCATAGGAAACAGTCCTGCTGATGGGTTTAAAGGGCCTCAGAATGGGGAAAGGGCATGTGTAGCCAGAACCAGAAGACGAGGGGATGAGAGAATGACTTCGCAAATCCGACCGGCTTTGCCCGTCAAGATAAAATCTCTGAACGGTAGTCCCACTCATCCGTCAGCTCCGGTCGCCTCATCACCTTTCTTCCCCTCCCCCTTTTCCTGTCCACATGTCTTCCACACACCAGACCTGCGCTCAGCGTCGAACACAAATACCACCACTTCACACGCAGCTTGGTACCCATTTCGTTTGTTCTCCTCACCTCGCACTCGCTTCCCAACTGCCCTCAGCCCAATCACATCACTCGCCTAATCGCCTACCTTTTTCTACGGCCACGCGTTGCTACCCTGCCTGACCCCACCGCCTGCCACACAGCAACTGGGCCCATCGCCAAACGGACAAGGGGGCCTCCGAGTGCACATCACCACCGCCTCATTCTCTCTTACAGCTGAGTTGAGCCAACTTCTCGTATAAATGGATCTTTTGATATCAATTTCATGCCCAGAAGGCAGAAATGAACTGAACCTGATCTCCCGCAGCCTAGAACGCTGCAACATAAATGTGATGCATCGGATGCCTCGAATTCGCCGTTCCTAGGGCATGATTTAGGACCACTCCCTCAAGGGAAATCTAGTTTGGATGTTTGATTTGGGCGTAGGATGTGACTGCTTGTTGAGAATGGTCGAATTGAAAGGACAGAGCTGGTTGCTTAGTTTTCTCAAACTGCTCTGAATTAGTCTACACAATTCGAAGGACTTAGTATTCCGGAGGAAAAAATTAAAAAAACTGGGCCAGCAAAATTAGATGACTGCGGCTTGGCCAAAAAAGAGGCCTACTGAATAAAGCTGTTGCAACAGAGCCAGATATGTCCAGCGTGGAGAACTAAATTTTGCTAAACTTCTTTCTACTCATTTGTAGTCAGGACGTGGCTAAACATCAACTGGTAGTCTCATATACCCAAAAGCGGATATTCTTGGAATAATGAGGAGGCCGATTGCCTTGAGGCAGCTACTTTTCCAGTTGCTTATTAAGTTTAATGAATAAGTGAAGGATTAAAAAAAATTTATAGCCAGAACCAGGTTTTTGCCGTTTGAGCTTGCTTTGTATTTTACAGAAATCGGCATGCAAAGCAACTAGCGAAACCAGCAAGCGTTCATTACTTACGACATTCACGATCTGGAAAAAGGCGGAGCTCTCCGTCCATTCAGAGTTTTCTTTTTCATAAGCCATCAACTTTACAACTGTTGACCTACAGTAAAATCTAAGTATGCCTTCTTTTTGTCGTATTCTGACAATTAGCTTAAATAGCTCACTTCCATTATCAAGTCCGGTGTGTAATCATAATAGGACTAATTGAGAATAGATAATGCCAAATTTCGAAAGTTTGGAGATTGGCTTCGTGCTCCGAGTAGGTGAGGTCGCCGGAAAGTAAAATCCAAGACTGTTGACCGAATTCCGTGGAAAAATTTGGCTGGAGTTAAGACAAACCGAATTTATTGGGCTATTTTGAATGATAGAGTCAACGATAATAAGGAACTCTCG